GCAAAGTCAGCCACTGCCTGTGGCCACCCAGCAGGAGCTACAGAGAGATCTGCAGATTCCTCCTCTTTGTATTGGGTTTGGAAATGTCCATGCAAGGCCCAGCTGTGAAGCAAGGCAGGCTGGTGCTGGTGCTGACCTTGGGCCTTTAATTGATAGTTTTGGGGCTCCCTGACCCAGCTGCAGCTTGTTTGACAGGTTTTAGGCCGAGAAAAGACAGGCCATTCATATGCAAAAGCCACTGTGCACAGCTTTGGTGGGGTTGTAAATTGGATGGGGTGGGATTTCAGGAAATCTCCAGGGCAGAGCAAATAGAAATGGCTGCATTAGGTAGATCTCAGCATGGGAACAATGACCGCTGCAAGCACCTCCTTCTGAAAGAAAGCCACCCCCGCATTCTTGTCCTCATGACAGATAGTCCAGTTTTTCCCCATATGTGTCTGGGTCCCCCAGAGCCTCACCCAGCACTGGGTCACAGAGCAAGCGGGAGCTTGTAAATTCAGTTCGCAGTGCCAGGGACTTCTTTCCCCAGCTCTGGGACCCTGGGCTGGGGGTCTGGAGTGGGGCTGGGACTCCTTGCTCCTCCAGGTGACCTCCAAAGAGGTGATCTCCCTCCCGATTAAAAAAGCAGCACACTAGTGTGCCAGACTAGCCCATTCTGCGCCTCCGCACCTCCTACCAGTCTCAATGTTCTTTACCTCTCTAGTTGTAGTTCTTCCACTCAGCCAGCTTTCCCGTGGTTCTGGATGATATTTGTTTTGTCTCTTTGTTGTAGTTTTGATGTGGTTGTGAGAGGCAGCAAGTAAAGGTGCTTACCTATGCTGCCATCTTGGTTATTCCCCTTCTCATTGATGTTTCTATCTCTCTGTCCCTTCCTCTCTGAAATAAATAAAAATATTTAAAAAAACAATCTTCTAACAATAAAACACCTTATCTAGTTTAACTGGGGGATTCTACTAGACATTAAAGGAAGAAATGTGTTCTCTTTCAGAAAAATAAAAGAGGAGAGAACACTTTCCAATTCATTTTATAAGGCCAGCATTGTCCCAATACCAAAACCAGGTAAATATATTACAAAAGAAGAAATCCATAGATCAACACCCCTCGTGAACATACAAAAATCTTCTAGAAAATATTGACAGAAAAACCTAACAACTCTAAAGGGATATCTGAAAAGATAAAAATACATATTCCTTTCTGATCTACTAGAATAAATTGAATAAATATAAATGTGGGGTTTTTTTTGTCCTTATGATAAACGGATTCTGATTTTTGTCTTGTTTCATTTTGGTTTTGATTTTTAATCTAGAGTGATATTAGAGTCATTATTATTCCTGAATATTTTATTTGAGTATTTCTAAGGCTTAATGGGTCTTTTGACCCTTGGAATTTCTAAAATATTATTGCTTTTCATATAAATAGCTCAGTATTTTAAATAAACTCTTAAAAATATTTTGGCTCGCACTTTAGATAAAAGGTGGCAATATTAGAATCACAAAAGGCATTATTATTACACAATTCTGTAATGCTTATTAAAACTCGAAGACAACATTCGTATTTTTATTGCTATGATAGGATTTTTAACTTGAGCTTGTAGAACTGCAGGTACAAAAGTGTGGGTGCATTCAATAATGTCTAATAGCATTCCAACCCTAAGCTATATATGTATCGTATGCTTACTGTGTTCCATTGTTAAACAAGCAGCTGTAAAGTTTTGCAAGCAAAGGTATCAACCTAGTATATGAGTATCTGCACAAGGCTAAATCTATCAATTAGTTTTTTAAAGTGATATATTTTTTATGTAAATAATGTATGCCCATTTGGGAAATTCACGAAAGCATAAAAAGATATTGAAAAATCTAAGTCCTGTTCCCAGACACAAGTACAGTTAGTATGCGTTGTAGCTTGTGTTTTCTTTTTGTTGTTGTTTTTCCCAACACCATTTATTGAAGAGACTGTCTTGACTCCATTGTATGCTCTTGCCTCCTTTGTCAAATATTAATTGGGCATAGTGGTTTGGGTCGATTTCTGGGTTCTCTATTCTATTCCATTGATCTATATGTCTGTTCTTGTGCCAGTACCATGCTGTTTTAAGAACAGTGGCTTTGTAATACAGCTTGATATCTGGTATTGAGATTCCACCTATTAGTTGTAATTTTGATGTGGTTGTGGGAGGCAGCAAGTACAGGCGTTTACCTATGCCGGCATCTTGGTTCCTCAGTGTTATCCTTTCTATATAATTTCATAATATATCATTTATAATTCTTATGTCCATGGTCATAAGGAATATTTGCTTGCAGTTTATCTGTAATGTCTTCTACTGCTTTTGGTATCAGCATAATAATGCCTTCATAGAATAAGTTGGGAACTCTTCTTTAATATTCTGGGAGATTTTATGTAGAATTGGTATTATTTTTTTACTTAAATGTTTAGAAGAAATCTTCAGTGATGCCATCAGGGCTGGACTTTTCTTTGAGTAAAGATTTTTTAACTACAAATTTAATTTCTTTCATAGATATAGGCTACTTAGGTCATCTATTTTTTCTTTAGTGAGTTTTGATAGATTACATTTTTTAAGAAATCTGTACATTTTCATCTAAGTTGTATTTTTTGATATAAAGTCATTCATATAATATCCTTTTAATGATTATATGATTTTTTTCTTCTTGATGTATGTAGCCGGAGGTTTATGAGTTTTATTGATCTTCTTAAAGACTTAGCTTTTCATTTAATTGATTTTGGCTTGTATCTATATAATATGAAGGTTTAGGTCATTGACTTGAGACTTTTTTCTTTCTAATATAATCATGTATTATTAGAATTTTTCTATAAATATTGCCTTGGTGGTATCCCTAAAACTTTTTTATTTTGAATTTTCCTTTTCATACTGTTCAAGATACTTCCTAATTTCCTTTTTCATTTCTTCTTTTACCCATGAGTTACTTAAAATTGTTATTTAATTTCCAAACATTCAGGAATTGTTAAGATATCTTTATGTGCTTGATTTCTAGTTTAATTCCATTGTGGCCAGAGAATATACTTTTTTTGAAACCTTAAATTCCACAACCATTGCTTATTATAAATAAAGATGAAGCCTGATCCCCATCGTGGGCTTATCAGAAAGATTTCTGGCAGTGAGCACCAGGGCTCCTGAGCTTTTCAAATTCACAGTGATGGGGATCAGCTGACAGCAGGGTCTAGTCATATTGTGTTAGGATGTCTTTGCTCTCCTTCTTGTAAGCCTCATTCACATATTTCTGTTAATAGGCCACCGGACTTTAGAGAAGAACTGGCTGATTGCAATAATTTTGGGCAATGTGACCAACACCCTTTACAGGGACATGAATGTCTACACCAGCTAATTGCTCTTTGCCCAGAATACTCTGAAAGTTTTTAAATTAATTGAGATTTGTTATATGTCCCAGAATATGGTTGATCTTGATATATGTTCTAGGTGTCCATGAAAAGGAATGTTCACTCTTCTGCTGTTGTTGGGTATAATGTAACATAAATATCAATTAGGTCAAATTGGTTGATATTCTCATTCAAGTCTTCAATGGCCTTATTGATTTGCTGTCTACTTTTTCTATCAATTATTGAGAGAGGTGTTGAAATCTCTGACTATAATTGTGGATTTCTTTTTTTTTTCACTCCTATCATTTTTTTAAACAGGTCATATGAACCTTTTTTTTATTAGGAATATAACTATTTAGGTTTTTTATGTCCTCTTGATAAAATAAACCTTTAATCATTACTAAATTACTGTCTTCAATCCTGATAATATTATTTGATTTGAAATTTATTTTGTTATAGAATTGTTCAGGTTTTCTATTTCTTCTTGAATTGATTTTAGTAATATATTCTTTTTCTAAAAATTATTCATTTCATCTAAACGTTCAAATTTATCAACAATGTTATACATAATATCCTCATATTCTTTTTAAAATATCTGCAGGATATGTTATATGTACTCTTTTACATATCAGTTTTATTAATTTGTGTCTTTTTCTTGGTAAGTTTCAACAGTTTATCAATTTTATTACTATATCAAAGAATAAACGTTTGTGTTTTTTTATCCTCTATATTATATATTTCTTTTCTAGTTTGTTGATTACTACTATATTTTTTCTCTTTCCATTTACATACTTATTGTTCCTTGTCTAGTTTCTTTTATCTTTCTAATGTATATATTTTAAAGCTGTAAATTTCCCTCTGAGGATTGCTTTAGCTGCTTTCATAATTGTGCTATGTAACATTTTCAGTAGTTAAAATTTTTTCTAATTTGCATTATATTTCTTCTTGAGTCACAGCTCAATTGCTGGATATTATGTATGAAAAATTATGTGTAGGAATCTGAAGCCCATGGTAAATGAATTTTCTTTGGGAGAGAATTTGTGTTTGTTTCCATAAGAACCCAAAGACCCCGTAAGCCTAAATCAATTTAAACCATGTTTAAACCTTGATCTCTGACTATATTTCTTCAAGGACTGTTACGTTTATACGTCACCTTCACTTTAAGAGTATAGCCCTTGGGGGGCTCCTGTCTGGGTCCTGAACTTTAAGTCCTATTTTTCAGGACCTTTAGATCAAAAGGAAAGTTCTCATTCTCCAAGATCAATGGTTTAAGGGCAAAATGGATATTGCACTGGTTAGCTTCAAGTTTCTCACTTCCCTTTCACTTTTGACCTATTCATCTCTATTTAATTCACTCCTTGACATTGCTTTTTTGTTATTTTTGTTTTATTTTAACCTGCCTTGTAGTTATGCTTAGTAGGAGGGTTACTATTCCCCAAAACTAGAAGTCTACATAAGAAACTTAAACAAAAGAATGCATCTAAAACAATACAGCTTAATTTCACTAAACGTCAACAGTTAAACATTGTTCAGTCAAGCCCAGTCATCATAGTCCCCAGCTGTTGACACATTCAGCCACTAGTGTCTGTGTGTCTTTGTATATCACTTGCTTCTGAAGGTTAAAAAGCCTTTATTGGAATAGGCACACACATCCATACCTGCTTGGACTTTATGCTCTTACAACCTTTCTTTTCTCTCTATTTTTTTTTTTATGGCAAACAGTATAGTTTACCTCCCAAGTCAAGAAAATAGACTTTCTATTTCCTTTTCCAACTAAACAAGGGAAACAATTAAGTTTTCTTTTCTAATCCTCCAGCTTTCGGCTGACATTTAGCAGAGTAAGGAGACAGCAGTTCACACTATCCACAGACACACCACAAAACCTCTTGACTAACTTTTCCAATCATAAAAGAGAAATACTCCCAACTCCACAGAAAATCTTACTACGTGTCATGAGTTTGTTCTTATCTGAAACAGCAATATAAATAAAATTTACATATTAAACATTTAAAAATTACTATGTTGATGTTCAACCAAGGGTTTTAAATGGTTTCACAAAAAGTAAATAATGTATTACTATTTGTTCTGTCTCCAAATGCAAATATTTGAAAATTAGATATTTAAGGGAAAGTTAAAACTAACCCCTTTTTGCTTTTTTGTATGTTTCTCATTTAGCTACAATATTTCTGATTTGTTTTACATTTAATTTTTAAACAAAATATAAGTGGATGAAAATGCATATTTATTATATCTTTGATTTAGGAAAGTGAGGTAAAAAATCCACCCTCACCTCCCAAGGCATGCTCTACTACGGGCTCTTGTTCTTCAGAGGTGCTGAGTACCAAGACTAACGCCAAGGAGAGTACCATATGCATACCAAACTATCTGGACCAGGAAATCAAAGTAAGGGCAAGTTTATTTAATCTCCAACTTGGGTACAGCATGAACAAACAAGAATAATTCACATCTCTTAGCATCTTTACAACTCTTGGTTCCCCTTGGAAAACTGAATTGATTTAAAACCACTTAGCCTGAAATCCAAGGCCTAATGCTATCTTGTAGTCTTACTTCTCCTTGGAATCCCATCACTCTTAAGAAAACAGTGTTTGACAGCTGTCAGTTTGTTTTCTGTATCTATGAGTCTGTCCCTATTTTGTTTGTTTGCAGTGGGTCACGAGCCCTTTGGCGGTCAAACGACCCTTTCACAGGGGTCGCCTAAGACCATCCTGCATATCAGATATTTACATTATGATTCATAACATTAGCAACATTACAGTTATGAAGTAGCAACGGAAATAATTTTATGGTTGGGTCACAACATGAGGAACTGTATTTAAAGGGCCAGAAGGTTGAGAACCACTGGTTTAAGGTGAAGGATTTTAAAAACCTCATAGACAACAGTATGGATATTACCAGAGGAAAAGGGGGTAGAAGAGGGTAAAGGGGCAACAAATGGTGACGAAAGGAGACTTGACTTTGGGGGGTGAACACACAATACAATATACAATGATGTATTCTAGAATTTTACACCTGAAACCTATACAGTTTTATTAATGAACTAGAGGCCCGGTGCACAAAAATTTGTGCCCTCTGGGGGGGGAGGGGGGGTCCCTCAGCCCGGCCTGTGTCCTCTCGCAGTCTGGGACCCCT